TTGGGATAAAGGAAGGTTGGATAGGGGAGCAGGGAAGCACATATCTTAATTAAGGGAGCCATCTTAGGGTTGGCAAGAGACTTGGTGCTAGAGGGGCTCCCAGGTGCCCAGGGCGATGTCCCCAGTTAGTTCCTGGGGCAGCTGAGGACAGAGAACCTGAAATGACCCTATCCTATAGCCATACTGATGAATATCTTGTAAGCATGTTTTTTAAAACGTAAAGGCACTCTCCACTTTATTGGCTGAAACTGCCATTCAAAACTTATCAAGAAGAGGAGTTTTTAATATAAAGTCTGCATTTGGATTAAATGTGGAATGATATTATATTATCAATATCTTAAATATCAGAGATATTGTATGAACTGTTTGCTTTTGGTTTTTTCAGTGATTTCATAACTCAAACACATAGTTTAAAACCTTAGAAACTCTTTACTGAGAAGTTTTAAAAGGACTTTGGCATAGCTGATGAAATCTGGGCTTTCACTGATGTAGTTTTCACTACATCATATTATTTATTTTTTGATAATCAATTGTATTCCCATATATCCTTATTCAAAAACAGTACATCAGCTCCAAACAAAGAAAATAAAATTGTTACAATATTTTACATGTTTCTTTTCATAAGAATTATTTTAACTCACCAGATCCTAAGGAAATGGAGCAAATCAACTCGTCCAAGTCAGGAACCCAGAAAGGTATGCATTTCTTGTCAAAGTTCTGATGTTTTTACACATTATACATTGTGTCTGACTAAAGCTATGAAAAGATGATAGCAGATTTCTAGGAATAAAATAACCTAGAAACATGAACACTACATGTTCGTAAGTAAACGTTAAGGATAATAACCCTTTTTGTCCCACAATAAGAGATACTCAGATAAAATAACATGCAAAGTTTTTAATAATTTCTTTGATTTTTTTTCTAACCGATGAACTATGATAAGACAGAAATGAACTCACTCTTCTAGAATAGTGCTCATGTTGAGAGACTTTGAATAATTTGTAGAGTAAAAACTTGCTTATTTAGTTTAGGTGAATAAACTCAGGGGCCACTGGGCAGACTATTCTTTGTCTGATGGAGTATATATTTTGTTTTATATTTATCAAATTGTGTAAACACATATTTTACATGAATGTCCAAATCTATAAAAACATATTAATTTTCATTATTAAATTTGCATTTCTTCAGAACACTGTTGTGGTCATTGTCCAAAAGAGTGGATATCATATTCCCACAGTTTTTATTACATTAGTATGGAGAAGAAAAACTGGACTGACAGTTTGTTGTCCTGCAATGCCAAAAACTCTAATCTGCTTTGTATAGATAGTGAAGAGGAGCAGGTAAGAGATGCTGTGTGTCAATCATTCATTGCTTAAATGTTCCTGTCAGTGTGATGTGTGTGGGGTCCATTCGTATTCTTATACATGTTTCATGTATTTATGGCTTTGTATAATATTTCATTGCTGCTTTATTTTAAAAACATTTTATCTATACTTGTGTACTGGTAGTGAAAACTATTAACCAGATTTTTTTTTATTTTATGAAAACCATTCTTGTATAAGTGCATTTACTCTGAAATTAACTTTGCCATTTAATTTTACCATACACAAAATATCTATATGTGTATGATAGTTAATATTCATAAGAATACGAATAGGTGGAGGTAATTATAGCCAAATAAGTAGGCAGACATTTTGATTTCCTTCAATTCCCTTTCCTATGCATACTCTCATCAGGTCTACCCACACAACATTTTTTTTCTGACTTGCTATAAATAGCTGCACTTGCCATTGAGTTTTATAAGACTTGGATTAGACATGCAAAAGTACTGTTGAGTAAACACCCTGAAATTCAGCAGTTATCAACCTGTGGTCACAATCCTTTTGAGGGTGGATGACCCTTTCACAGGGGTCACCTAGGACCATAAGGAATATCAGATATTTATATTATGATTTATTACAGTAGCAATATTACAGTTGTCAAGCAGAAAATAAAAATGATCTTATGGTTTTGACATGAGGAACTGTATAAAAGCATTGCAGCATTTGGAATGTTGAGAAAAAAAACACTATTATTCTTAGAGCAAATCATTGATCCATGCTCCTGCATTGATCTGCAGTTTGTGAATTTTCACTGCTGTGTTATATAAACATAATATTCTAAAACCCACTTTATCTGGTGTTCCCTGAGGGAAGGAGTGAGTGTCACACCCTCAAAGACAGAGGCATCTTACATGGCTATTTGTACTCATGGGATCCCCGACACCAGGTCCTGAACTAGTTTCCTTCATAAAGTAAGAGAAGCCCTTCATATGACCAATTACCCCCATTAGGTGCTTTCAGCCTTGTGGAGTGCTGCTGCTGGCCAATCTCTCTTAGACATGGAGAAGAGAGCTCACATAATCTATATGTTGTTGCTTGGGTTCTGAAAGAGAGCATGTAGGTTCATTTCCTTCCATTGGACAAAAAACACAGGATGTCCTGACATTTTGTAGTCCCCCATCTTCAGGAGTCAAACCCTTTCAGCTTTGTTTCAGGCCTTCAGAATTCTTCACTTGTGTCATTTATTATAACTCTCCAAGTTTGCCCTTTATTTATAACAGTAGTCAACAGAAACTTTAGTGATACCCTTTCAGTAATCAACCTCTACGGTGATAGACAACAGTGGAGGTTCAGCTACTTAGTGATAACATGGCACCCAGAAAGCAGAAACTATGTCCACTGCATCACTCATTTCTTCACTTGTAAGCCATGACCTTCCTTTTATAAGTGAACTTTGAGAAACAGTAGAAAAATTGATTTGAGCACAACAATCAGAGAATTTTATTCATAACTTCTGGAAATTTCTTTAAATCCCTATTATGTTTGTGTTGTGAGCATAAATATCTATAAACTTACATAAATCCATTGCCAAATTTCCCACTAATAGAAGAATAGAAATTGTAACTATAAACTTGTGAAAGTTAATTCTAAGTCAAAATGACATGCTATGTGAATGTTTTGGCAATGTAAGAAATATTTTCAACTTTAATAAGTTGAGAACTTATTATTCAAATAGATAATAAACATACTATAACAGAATATACTATGACATTTAAACCATAATAAGAGCCTTAATACTGATAAAATTCCTTGATTTTCTGGTAGGAATTTTTGCAATCCCTCTCAATGATTGCATGGACTGGATTCTTTCTGGAGAGCAGAAATCAAACCTGGGTTTGGAAAAAAGACTCAACTTTCAAACCAATGTAAGTTTTTATGAATGATGCAATAGACAAGAAAAAAATCATACAAAGAATGCCTCAAGATAATGGTATCAGTAAATTAATTATATACAGACATAATGATGCTGACCTTCTTGAACTGCTCATGTGAATCTGAAGAATCAACTACTTGTCTTTCATAGTAATCAGTTTTACCAAACCATTAGTAAAGATGCCATTGTCAACTTGCATGAGATCCTTTGTTTGCACTTATTTATAGGAGTCACTCATTCAATAGATTATCCACATAAAGTATATATTCATTTTGTGTTTCCACAGTTGCAGGATAACAGAACTTTCCCATGGTGAATGTAACTGTGTCATGCTGTCAGCCTCTGGCCTCACAGTAGATAACTGTACAAATTTACATACATATCTTTGTAAGCGTAAGCTGAACAACTAAAACACCTGTGCTTGGATTCTCTCAGGTAATATTGCATTTCATAACCAGAAAATAGGATTAGCAGTGTGTACATATTAAAGTGAATTATAATGTTTGTTCTAATAATGATTTTTTTCATAAACAATCATTGAAGTATATAAAACAAGCCAAAGTACAAATATTATTTTTTATCTGTATCTTTTTGCTCAAGATAATCTTTATAATGTTAAATTTTACAACAGATTACATATATGCAAGGAGAGTTTCTGCAGAAGGACTGCTACATTTCAAATGTACCATCCAATGTGCTTTTGTCATAGGATTTTGTAGTATTGCTTTGCTGGAAGCTGAAGATTACAAATTGAGTTTCCTTAGTACAACTATGTTGCTTATTCATTAACTATATTTCCATATATGTAGATACCCATCCTCCTCCCTTCCCAGTCTCCTTCTCTCATCCACTCCTCTTCTGTTTCTGCTCAGAAAAGATAAGTCTCTCTGGGATATCTACAAAACAAGCATATGAAGTTGAAATAAGACTAGGTACCTTTCTTTATATTAAGGATGAATGAGGCAACTAGGAAGAGGAAAAGGGTCCCAAAAGTAAGCAAAAATGTCAGAAACAGATACCAACCCCTGTGTTAGGATTTTCATGAGAAGATCAAGCTACACAACTGTAACATAATGCAATGGAACTAGATCAGTCCTAAGCAGGCTCCCTTATTGTTAGTTCTGTCTCAATGAGCCCTTCTGAGTACAGCTTAGTTGATTCTGTGGGTCTCCTTGTGGTGTCCTGAACTCTTCTAGATCCTAGAATCCTTCCTCCCATTTCTCTGTAAGGATTTGCCAAATTCCAACTAGTGTTTGCTGTGATTCTCTGCAACTGTTTCCACCAGTTGTTGAGTGGAGTCTCTCTGATGGCGATTATATCAGGCTCCTGTCTATTAGTATAGCAGAATATCATTAAGAAAAATCTCAATTACTTTTTTTCCTGTCATGATTGGTTCTATTTTAGCTATCCTATGTGTTGTCGTTGTTGTTGTTCCATTTGAAGCTGAGTTTTGCTGTTATGGTCTGAAAATTTGTATTGGAATTTTGATGGGGATGGCATAGAATCTGTAGATTGTTTTTGGTAAGTTGGTAATTTTTACTATGTTAATCATACTGACCCAAGAATATGGGAAATATCTCTATCTTCTGAAATCTTCTTCAAAGACTTGAAGTTCTTATAATACAGGTTTTCAATTTTGCTTGGTTAGAATTACCCCTAGGTATTTTATATTATTTGAAGCTATTATGGAGAGTGTTGATTCCTTGAATTCTTTTGCAGCCCATCTGCCATTTATGCCTAAGAGAGCCATTAATTTTTTTAAAGTTAATCTCATATCCAACCACAATGCTGAAAGTGTTTATCAGATGAGGGTGTTCCCTTGCTAAATTTTTTGGGGTCACCTATGTATACAATCATAACATTTGTAAATAGTATTTTTTATTTTTTCCTCAATTTGTAATCCTTTGAATTTCTTCATTTGTCTTATTACTTCAGCTAAAACTTCAAGTACTATATTGAATAGATATAGAAAGAGTGGACAGCCTTGACTCGTTCCTGATTTTAGTGGAATTGCTTTAAATTTCTCTCTATTTAATTTGTTATTGGCTATAAAAATGCTGAAAATTGCCTTTACTATATTTACAAATATCCCTGTATTCTTGATCTTTTGGGGAATTCTTTCATAAAGGGGTGTTGGATTCTGTCAAAAGCTTTTTCAAAATCAAATGAGATAATCATGTGGGGTATTTTTTGTTGTAAGGGAGAGAGTGGGCCCTTTGTTCCATCCCGCCTGGTTAGCTTGCTCTTGAAATAACCATGCAGAGATTGTATTAATCAAACACTGCCTGGCCCATTAGCTCTAGCCTCTTACTGGATAACTCTTACATCTTGATTCAACCCATTTCTAATAATCTGTATGTCACCACGAGGGTGTGGCTTACCAGGAGAGATTCTAACCTACATCCACCTCAGGCTGGAGATTCATGATGTCTGCCACACTTCCCTTCTTCCCAGCATTCTCTTCTGTCTACTCTTCCCACTTAAGGGCTGGCCTATCAAATGGCCAAGGCAGTCTCTTTATTCAACCAATGAAAGCAGCACAAATACAGAAGGAGCTCCTACACCATTTCCACTTTTTCTGTTTAAATAAAAAAGAAAGGCTTTCACTTTAAAATAGTAAAATTACATATAACAAAATAGTTATCAAGCAAGAATTACAGTTACAATATTTATATCTATTTTATCTTTTATCATAACAAATAAAAACTATAACTATTCATTCTTCAACTCCACCAAAGACCCCAGAAGGATATAATATTACCTAAGTAAACAAGAAATAAGCAACTTCCAAACTCTAGAAATGACAGAGACATCTCACTGCCTGGACAGTCACCCAAAGTTCCTCTCTCCCGCTGGAGCATCCATCTTCAGCCTACAGGCCCATAGTATCCAGCAGATATTTCCATGAAGCAGGAAATTTCAAAGACAGTTCAGTCACTTTCTTCTGTATCCTGCAGAATATCTAGCAGACTCTTTCATGAAACAGGAACCCGAATGACCATCTCACCTTTAGGCAAGCTCAGCAGTCCTCTCTCTGTAGGTTCTTGATGTGGGAGAATTATCTGTATTCTGTCAATCATGTTATAAATAAACACTGATTGGCCAAGTAGGAAATATAGGTGGGAAAACCAGACAGGAAGTAGAAATGATGTAATGAGAACAGGAGAATTCTGGAAAGGAGGAAGTTGATTCCTCCCACTCCTGCCCAAATCACCCAAGCAGCAGGATGTGAGCTGCCCCACTGAAAAAAAGGTACTGAGCCACACAGCTAACATAGATCAGAAAAAATGGGTTAATCAAGATGTGAGAGGCTAGAGCTAATGGGCCAATCAGCTTTATAACTTATAGAGATCTTTGTGTGATTTTCTTTGGGACTAAACAGTTGTGGAGGACCTGGTGGGAGGACAGAAAACACAAACAAGCAGGCCTACTCTTCATGTTTCAGATTCTTTATGATCAGTTTATGCAACAGTTCAGGCAAGAGCAGTTTCTTGCCCAAATGGCTATCAAACTCCATAAGGAGCCTCTTCGATGCCGATGCCCATCTTCCTCTGAAGTAGTTTGGTGCTGCCAGGAGCAGTTGTGTCTCATTGTCATGAAAAGTCCTAAGTTATTAAAACATTTTAAAAGCCATATTATGTAGCCTTTGAAAGATATGAAGAATATCTATCTGAAATACATCTATACACATCTAGAAAATCTAACATGACTACAAGCTTGACTATTATCGATGACTATCCATTAACAACCTATATTTCCTAATTATACATTACATTTTAAGTGAACTACACAATCACAATACCTTAATCAAGATTTGAAATATGCATATAACAAAATTGACCTTAAACTTGTATTAATAAATAAAGATTTATAACAATGCAAATTATTCGTTTCTATATCAATTTTTCTTTTAGTTTGTTTATATGGTGGATTGCATTCACTGATTTTTGTATGTTGAAACATCCCTGCATCTATGGAATGAAGCCTACTTGATTCTCGTGGGTGATCTTTTTGATGTGTTTTTGGATTCAGTTTACTAGTATTTTATTGAGTATTATTTGTCCATGCTCAGTTTCATGAGGAAAATTGATCTGTAATTTTCTTCTTTGTTGAGTCTTTTGTGCTTTGTGTATGAGTGTGACTATGGTCTCATAAAATGAATTTGGCAATGTTCCTGAAATGATTTCTTAATATAGTTTCAGTATCATAGGTGTGCAAAACTTGTAATGAAGAAAATTAAACTCAGATATAAAATAATTGCAACTTCTTAATACTTTTTCTGGCAATTTTAAATAATTTCATATGTCTATAATTTCTTCCTTTAGTTTTTAAATGCTTTTTCACATTGATTTATGCTATGTGCATACATGTATGTGATACACACACATGTCATTGCACATTTACAAAAGTGAGAGGACAGTTTACAGGAGTTAGTTATCTCTTTCTCTCATGTGAGAATCATGGTTCAAACTCAGGTTAAAGTGTTTGGTGGCAAACACTTTTACCTGATGAACCATCCCACAACCCTTATTTTGGAGACAATGTCTACTTGTGTAGCACAGACTGACATCAAATAGACCACAATCATTTTGTCTCTCGAGAGCAGAGGTTTGCAGGTGTTTGCCACCAAGCTTAGCTTTCTGTCTCTTTAATGGAAGTGACTTTGGTCCTTATTGACCTTTTTAGATTGTTAGAATTTTGTTGTTGGCCATCATTTTGTACAGTTTATTGTTTCCTACTTTCTGCTTCATTTGTAGAGAATTTCAACATGTTTTGCTCTTCTGAATTCATTTTTTATGAATTTGTGTCATATTAAAGTTTCTCTTCTGTAATTGTATGTTTGAAGAAATTAATTTTTCATAAAAGAAATTTTGCTATTTTATAATTCTTAATTGTGAAAAGCCAGTATGATCATCTATTTGTTTCATCATTATTTAGAACTGGGCTTCTGATTTAGAAAATACCTGCTTCAATTTTTTTTGTCATTTACTAATTTTTTGATAAATTGGAGATTGTGGTGGAAATGGCTACTATGACTAAACAACTTATTTTATGTTATATTTAGTTTTAAATTAATTGTAACCTGAATAGCTACAGCTTGAATGTGTTATGTAAGCATGGCTAGTGGTTACCACAGCTTCTGTTTAGACAACTCAGCTTTAAATGCTTTCTAGTTATACACTAGGAAATATTGGTATGGTTTTGAAAAAATTCCCAAGTGGTTCTAAGAACCCAAGCCTTCTGGATTCACAGAGGTGAGTATCTAGCAAATGCCGATGTTGACTGAAGGTTAAGTATTTCTATAACCTCAGAGACTCATCTGCTTTCTAAAGTATGGTACAGAAGAAGTATCTAGGTCCCATTTAGGATTAAACACCTTCCTTCCAAGTCTATGTTTTATTATTTATTCACTTATTTTAGGTACACAATAGTTAATGAAATATTATTAGTGGTTGGCATAGCAATTTTGTCTTTATTAAACACTCTTCTCATCTCTAATAATGATTATTGTCATCTTATGGCAATGTACTATTGGTTCATTTTTCATTTACTTTTATCTTTCTTTTTGCTTATGTTGGCAGGTTCTTATTAATATGAAAAAGTTGAAATATAAAGCCATATTTATTTAAGTTGAAAATTACTTAGCTTACACTTAACATATTATTAGATTATCATATTTATAAGCTGATTGCATGCATAATTAGTTCTATTTTTCATTTAATTTTGAACACTACTATCTCAAGATCTCTTTTCCTGTTTCTTCATTTTTAACAATATTTTAATTGACTATATGGAATTACATAAATTTGTTAACTTTATTTATATATGCTTATTTAGCTTTTAGTATTCTTTAATTTCTGTATCACATTTTACAATATAATCATTACTCCTTAAAGTCCAGTAGATTAGTAATTTTGCTCTTTTGCAAACAACCAAAAGTTCCAACAATGTTCTATTTTTATTCACTACTTATTCTTTATTTTCTCCTTGAAACGATATGATATACTACATCCTTATTTTAGTAAACTTTCAAACTTAATATTTTGCCATCTATATTTTATCCATTTACTGTCTATTTAAGGATAACCAATAGTTCCTTCTACTATTTCATTTTGCATGTTCAAGGCTGTTATTCTGTTTGATAGCTTTAAATCTTAAGTGTACTAATATGTAATCAAAGAGAGTTGAACATGTATAGAGTACATATATGCAGCACTTAAAATAAGATTCTATTTATAAAAATGAATTATAATTAATGGAAATATAAGTAATTTCATTATAGGAGGCATGTAGGCCCTTGTGCTCATAAATAAGCACTAGAAGAAGCGAGAATGTTAATATCACAGAGGCTTTTCTTCAAAGTGATAATCTGTTTTCACTCAGGAGGTTAGGAGCAGAAGTGGCTAATGATCTGGTGACTTTTTCAATGTCTATGTGGCCAAAGTCACATTGGATCTTCCTCCAGATCCTTATCATGAGCCTATTTTTCTAGTTAATTTATGGGGTCTATTTGCATTGGAAGATGTCACTTTTACTTTATGCATTGCTCTTGGTTTGGTTTGTTTGTTGTGTTACTGGTTTGATCCCGCGCTCGTTCAGTCGCTGTCCAGCTAGCTTTGGTGAGTTTCCATTAGATCAGGCTCACTGTCTCAGTGGGCGGACAAACCCCTTGTGGTTCTGACTTCCTTGCTCATCTTCTCCCTCCTTCTGCTTTTCAACTGGACCCTGGGAGCTCAGTCCAGTGCTCCAATGTGGGTCTTTGTCTCTATCTCCATCCATCGCCGGACGAGGTTCTATGGTGATATTTAAGATATTCATCAGTGAGACTACGGGACCAGGCCAGTCCAGGCACCCTCTCCTCTACTGCACAAGGAATTAGATGGGGACATCCTCGTGGACCCCTGGGAATCCCCCTAGAACCAAGTCTCTTGTCAACCCTAAAATGGCTCCCTTAATTAAGATATCTTCTTCCCTGCTCCCATATCCACCCTTCCTTCATCTCAACCATCCCACTACCCCAAACTCTTCCAATCCTCCTCTTCTTCCTTCTCTCTCCCTCTTTCCCCTTCCCCTCACCCTACCCCCACCCCCATACTCCCAACTTTTGCCCAGCGATCTTGTCTACTTCCAATTTCGAGGAGGATCCATATATGTTTTGCTTTGGGTTCACCTTATTACTTATCTTCTCTAGGATGGCGAACTATAGGCTCAATGTCCTTTGTTTATAGCTAGAATCCACTAATGAGTGAGTACATGCCATATTCATCTTTTTGGGTGGGTTATCTCACTCTGGATAGTGTTTTCTATTTTCATCCATTTGCATGCAGAATTCAAGATGTCATTGTTTTTTACCACTGAGTAGTACTCTAATGTGTATATATGCCGCACTTTCAAACTTGTGCAACCACTTTGGAAATCAGTGTGGCAATTTCTCAGGAAAAAATACTGATAGAATTATTGAAAAGCTTTTTCATATGGTCTGCTGTTGTATCTTAAAGGCATGCTTCTGGATTCCTTTATGTAGAGGCCAAACAATATTTGTAAGTGGTTATATTAACTATTGCAGTGTTTGAATAGTTTTAAACCGGTTTTCATAATATTGTCCTCCAAGAAGTTCATTTCTATAATGATTTTCCACATGAAATAATTTTTATTATACATTCTTATATTTTGGTACAAAAAAGAAACGAAACTAATAAATTAAAATTCAGATTCGTAGAAATATGAATCTTTCTCCTCTCCAGGACAGATGCGATGAAGCAAGCCACCAGGTCAGACATGCTGAATCTTTCCCGGTAAGACTGGTGCTACACAGATTACTAAATATGGGTTAGGCAAGTTGTGAGAATTAGCCATTAAGAGGCTAGAACTAATGGGCCAAGCAGTGTTTAAAAGAAAAAAAAAGAGTACCTCTTGTAATAAATGACAGAACATTACCTCATCAATAAACCCAGCAAAGTACTCAATATTTTCCAAAGTTCCAATATTTGCACAGGTTTTATCTGTCTGGATCTCAGCCTATGCAAATGTGACCATGACTTTCATGGGAAATAAACAATAAGAATTAGTTGATGAATCTTCACAGATAAAGACTTTAGGAAAACAATTTGGTGTGCTATATTAAAAGGAAATGCTTGAAATCACTATATCCTTTGGTATCAGTTGTCTCAAATTTGCTACTGTTTATATAACAATATTTAAATAATTGTTCTGTTTTAAAAGAGTTGTTTTGTTCTGTGATTTGGGGACATATGTTGGATAAGTTTTTCATTGTTTTCCTTATAGGAGATAGATTTAGGGAAATGTGCCTGACATTTTTTTGTGTATGTATGTATTAGTGTGTGTGCTGTTTTATATGCAACAGCATATGAAAGTGTATGGCTGTAATTTGTACAGGCTAATTGATATATGTGAACAAAGAAAAGTCATTAAATATCAATGTTGTTGCTGGGAGGTAATTTCTAATCTTTGCTATGTTATTGCCTATGCTATACAAAGGGGCGGTGTTGGCAGAGGCTGTTTTTTTGTTTATCAGTGGCCCAACTTAAATAACCAAACAGAAACTTATTAATTAAAACACTGCCTGACCAATCACTTATGTGTATTGCTAGCTAGCTCTGATATCTTAAATTAACCCATTTATATTATTCTATATTTTACCATGTGTGTTGTGGCTTACCAGCAAGTTTCACATCTTTTTGCTCTGGTGGCTACATGGCATCTCCCTGACTCCACCTACTTTTTTCCAGCATTCAGCTTAGTTTCCCACCTATCTCTATTTTGGCCCACTTTTCACGAAGCAGGAAATCGGAAAATCTCTTATGCATTTTACTTTGCTTTCTTCTGTGACCTAGAAAATGCATGGCAGTCTTTCATGATACAGGAACTCTAAAGGATCAACCCACCTTTAGGCAAGTTCAGCAGTTATTTTTCTATGGGTCCTGCATATCCAGTTCATACAGCATAATTCCATGTAGTCCATGCAAGAGCAGTTTCTTGCCCAAATGGCTAACAAACCCCATAAGGAGCCTCTTTGAAGTACATCTTCCAATTGAAGTAATTGGTGCTGCCAGGATCAGATGTGTCTCATTGCCATGAAAAGTCTTAAGTTCTTAAAACATTTTAGATGTCATATTCTTTACATCTTTGAAAGATTTGAGGAATATTTATTCATCTGAGTACATTATATATCTCTGTATATCTAGAAAACCTAACATGACTATAAGCTTGACTATTATAGATGACTGTCTATTAACCTATATTTATGAACACTATTAATAAATTTAGGCATAGTGTTCTCCAAACTGCTTCCTGCTTTGTGTTGGGCAAAGCAATTTTGGGGTTCACAGAGACCTTTTAAGCGGCATTGAAGGTTCATCAAACCACATTATTCAGGAAGGAATCCACAGATTCTTATCATCTAAGGAAACAAAAAACGAACCACTTTTTCAAAGAAATATATTCTCAGACCCAAATTTTGAAGTCAAGATAATATATATATATCTTAGAAGCCCTTACAATGAAATGTCTCTCTATACTTAGTTCATTCACAGTTAAAATTTTTGAAGAAAACACAACAATATACATGATCCTAACTCTCTGTGTATTTTCCATCTTTATGTGGTTTATTTTTTCTTTACCCCTTTAATCTATGACTGTCTACACTCTGTCACTTTAAATACTTTGTTTTATTTTTTCTATATTCTTTTTATTCTCTCTCTCAAGCCCACATATATTTATCCAATACTGTGACCCATTTAAAGGTCTTTTCCTATTGGATTTGTCCTAATTGTGTGCATATCTGCAATTAGTTTTTGACCAGGAGCACTTTTTTTCCCTCTTTTAAATGATAAACAGGCATGGCCAGGACCAACTCTGCATCCTGCCTGCTTTCTCCACCCAGTCCCAAATGGCAGAGGCATGTTCACTGCCTCTAATAGCATTCTGTCCTCCCCAGATCCAGGGTCACAGAGGGTCTGTGTCAACATTTAGCAATTTGTAACATGCTACTCACACACCCCATTTAAGTGCTTGTCCTCCTGACAGAGCCAGAGTTGTACATGCAACTATAAAAAACTAGGAAGGCACCATTTCTTAAAGAAGTCACATGGTGTTTGATGTTGCTGTTGTTTGTTTTTATTGTTTTGCAGCTAATGCTGAATCAGGAAGAATTCTCTTAAAGAAGCCATGGCACTCCTGTTTGCTGCCAGGAAACAGAGCCCATCTGATAAAAAAAAAATGTTGCTAAACTTTGGATGTTTTGTGTGTGCATGACTAGAATTCTTTTCCAAGCTCTCTTGGGTTTTATGTGGATTGAACTAGCCACAATGGTGAGCAATCCAGGTACTCAGACACCAGTGCATCTGTGATCCAAAGGGCAAAATCTATTGTTTAGAAAGTCACTAGAGCTTGTCATTGTGTATTTGATGCTTGTTTTATAATCATACAGAATGAAACAATTATGGGGTCATGGCAACTTACAACTATGTTTCAAAGGATATGATATTAACATATCATAACAGGGTGAAGAATGAAAAATCAAGATGTGAGGGTGAAGGTGAACACACAATGGAGATACCAAGAAATCAGAGATGACAAGAATGTAAAACATTTGTTGAGGAAATTTTTTTTTCTGANTAAATTTGTATCAATAAACCAAGATCCATACCACTGCAAAGTATTCATCTCTACATCATATTTCACTTTAAATCTAAGCAAACATTTATGAACACTATTAATAAATTTAGGCATAGTGTTCTCCAAACTGCTTCCTGCTTTGTGTTGGGCAAAGCAATTTTGGGGTTCACAGAGACCTTTTAAGCGGCATTGAAGGTTCATCAAACCACATTATTCAGGAAGGAATCCACAGATTCTTATCATCTAAGGAAACAAAAAACGAACCACTTTTTCAAAGAAATATATTCTCAGACCCAAATTTTGAAGTCAAGATAATATATATATATCTTAGAAGCCCTTACAATGAAATGTCTCTCTATACTTAGTTCATTCACAGTTAAAATTTTTGAAGAAAACACAACAATATACATGATCCTAACTCTCTGTGTATTTTCCATCTTTATGTGGTTTATTTTTTCTTTACCCCTTTAATCTATGACTGTCTACACTCTGTCACTTTAAATACTTTGTTTTATTTTTTCTATATTCTTTTTATTCTCTCTCTCAAGCCCACATATATTTATCCAATACTGTGACCCATTTAAAGGTCTTTTCCTATTGGATTTGTCCTAATTGTGTGCATATCTGCAATTAGTTTTTGACCAGGAGCACTTTTTTTCCCTCTTTTAAATGATAAACAGGCATGGCCAGGACCAACTCTGCATCCTGCCTGCTTTCTCCACCCAGTCCCAAATGGCAGAGGCATGTTCACTGCCTCTAATAGCATTCTGTCCTCCCCAGATCCAGGGTCACAGAGGGTCTGTGTCAACATTTAGCAATTTGTAACATGCTACTCACACACCCCATTTAAGTGCTTGTCCTCCTGACAGAGCCAGAGTTGTACATGCAACTATAAAAAACTAGGAAGGCACCATTTCTTAAAGAAGTCACATGGTGTTTGATGTTGCTGTTGTTTGTTTTTATTGTTTTGCAGCTAATGCTGAATCAGGAAGAATTCTCTTAAAGAAGCCATGGCACTCCTGTTTGCTGCCAGGAAACAGAGCCCATCTGATAAAAAAAAAATGTTGCTAAACTTTGGATGTTTTGTGTGTGCATGACTAGAATTCTTTTCCAAGCTCTCTTGGGTTTTATGTGGATTGAACTAGCCACAATGGTGAGCAATCCAGGTACTCAGACACCAGTGCATCTGTGATCCAAAGGGCAAAATCTATTGTTTAGAAAGTCACTAGAGCTTGTCATTGTGTATTTGATGCTTGTTTTATAATCATACAGAATGAAACAATTATGGGGTCATGGCAACTTACAACTATGTTTCAAAGGATATGATATTAACATATCATAACAGGGTGAAGAATGAAAAATCAAGATGTGAGGGTGAAGGTGAACACACAATGGAGATACCAAGAAATCAGAGATGACAAGAATGTAAAACATTTGTTGAGGAAATTTTTTTTTCTGAGTGAGAAAAACCAGCCCAAGGGTGGGACCATCAATGGATGGGGCTTTCAAATCAAGTGAGTTGCACATCATAAGAACATAGTCCCGATGATGAATATGGAAATAAAGATTGAATGCTTTCCCCACTGAGTTTTTGTTGGGATCATTTGGAGTCCTGGCCTCTAGCTGCTCTTCCCTGCTAGAGATCTTTATTTTCCTTCTGATTTGAGTTACAGAAAACTGTGTCAAAGTTGTTTACCAGCTCTGCTTCACAAACAAGTGTTACCTTACCTTGAGGATCAGAGGATAAGGGTTTTCACCTGTTGGCCCACCTACCTGTGTTGGGTATATAAGCCTCTGTGGTGTTATTGAATAAAGGGCTTCTTACCAGTTACTAGAGGTTCGTGTCTCTGTCTGTGTGTCATTGTGTGTTTCAACCTCCAGCCCCTTGCCCAAAGCTCGCAAATGGTAGTGCATAGAGTGCAGACAGGTGTTGTGTGCCCTGCAAGTTTTTATCTTATTTTAATCTGTTTCCTTCTTATTTTTCTTCTATTTGCCTCTCTGGAATTGTTTACATCACTATAACATGAACTTTCATAAATTGATCCCACAGTGCTTTACACCTAAGTTTATATTGCTTAACAAAACTGAATTTATATTTGTGTTTTCAAGAATATGATAGTTCAGAGTGCAATGACTTTTGGAGGTAAACTGAATGCATTTTG